TCTCAGACGGTTACGTTAGCATCTCAGTAACTCCTGGGGTGAGCTACATTTGTTTCTCATATTCTTTTTATTTTCTTCTTTACCTGCCTTAAAGAATAAAGGTTTGGGGACTTGAGAGACAGGAGCTTTTGTGTTTCTGTGGCAGCAGATTTCAGAGATAAAAAAGGCCCTTCAGCATTTTCCTTGGATGCATGTCTATGTGCCAAGTTATCAGGTTTAAACCACAGCCAATCTAATAGAAGACCAGGGGTGGAGACTTGTGCAAAGAACTCTTCATAAAATGTACTGAAGTTCTCAACCAGCCTGCTCAGCTACCTCTAAGAGGCTCCAGGGGAGAAAAAGTCCCAAACCTCCTGTTTAAGAATGTTAAGATAACATTTTTTTGTGGACGAAGAATGGGACCTGTGGACTCCAGAACAATATCGGCCTGATTTTCGAGCATTGCCATCCTGAGGGGCCTCACTACGTGACTGAGCAAAAAGCAGGAGAGCTGGAGATTCTGCCACAGGAAATGGTGGTTTGAAATAGGAGCACAGATGGTGCTGAGAGCAGAGAGGCACACCTTCTTCCTGGTTCCATTTTGTTATAATAAAACACATGCCAAATAGGTCATTGCTTGTTCCCTTCTACTCCTGCCTTGGGCCATTCAGAAGGTGACTCTGCATTCCTTCCCAGACTTTCTCATACTTAGTGCTCTGATAATTCTTAACAAAAGGGACATGACAGAATTCTCCAAGCTTCATTCTATTGCCTCTAAGTTAACTTAGTCCATCACAGTTATGTTGAGTGCCCTCCTGCCCTACCCTGTGTCATGTGGAAGGGGTAATGCATATGAAGCGTAAGGTACAGCACCTACCTTCAAGGAGTTTACAATCTAGACAGGACTCAGAAGCTACCAGGTAGAAAAACATCATCGTATTAAGGAAACTACTGCTAGAATTCCTCTTTGGAAGGCAACAGAGTTTGTTTAGGATAGTAGCTTCATAAATGCTAGACTGCAGAAGGTGGGACCCCTCCCCCTAAGAATCCAGCTGTAGGTTAGATAGTTCTGTATTATAATGGGGGAAAATGTTGCTTGTGCAGAGATAGGAAGAGAAAGAGAGGGTCTGAGCCTGTCAGAGGGTGGGAAGCTGCCTGGTTCATGATGGAATCTGCTCCTTGTGACCTTTCAAATCTACACTAGAGGATTTGAACCCACAAAATTCTTAGTGTAGGTTTTTTGGTTTTGTTTTGTTTTGTTTTTTGTAGAAACTGATGAAGACACTGTACCTTGCACCCAGGACAGCTGAGACTAGAACAAGTAGAGCTGCAGGAGAGAAAACTCAGAGGACCATGAGGAAGTTATTCCCAGAAATTACAGGAATCATGGGCAGCCTGAACCCACCAAGCTGTAAAAGTAGCATTTTGTCCATATTTACCCAAATTCCTGACAGCCTAGAGTCTCTGACATTTAGTTTCCATTTACATATCATAATTGAATAAGAGCACCAAAAAGCTGATCACCAAGTGTAGAAATATTTGGACCTGGTAGACAGATAGAGAAATTAAGTCATAAGCAAATGACATGATGGTTCTGAAGCATCCATCCTTCACTGATGTTCAGGGACCCCTCTGGACTTGCGATCAAACCTATCTCCTGTCCTTAAAATCAACCAGCAAGAATTTACCAAGGACCTCTATGTGTCAAGTAGTAAGAGAGCTGCAAAAGAAGTAAAGAGGTGGTCTCTGGCCTCCAAGACCCTAGCAGCTAGTTAGAGAATTGAGGCAAGTGGAGTTGACATTTATTCACCACATGCTGGATTGCAGGCATCGCTCTGAGCACTTTCCATACATTATTTCATTGGTTCCTCAGAACAACTCTGTGAACTGAATATTTTTATGTTCATTTTGCAGATGAGGAGACAGGGGCCCCAGAGAGTAGGAGCAGCCTATCTGAGGTCACAGAGCTATCAAGTGGTAGACCCAGAATTGGAATCCATCTGTCTGGCTCCAAATGCTCTCACTGAAAATAGTCTCCACAGCAGACATAATTCTAAGATGTAGGACATGAACCAAGGTGCTTCAGAGTCCAAGGGGGAGGGAAGAATGGGAGCTGGAATGGTCAGGAAAAGTCACACAGAGGAAGGAAGATTGGCCTGGGGGGTCAGGACTCGGCAGTGGCGGCGGGGGGACCGCTGAAGGTGCAGCGGGAGGGAGAAGAGAGGACCGAGCATATGCACAGGTGTTGGATGGAAGTTGGTGAAGGGACTAGTTGGCACCTCAGAGGGCCTTTGACTCACGAGGTCTCCCAGGCAACCCAGCCTTCTGCTGCTTTCCATGTGGAGGCCTCACCACCACAGGCTAAAACACAAACTGTAAATTCTGTAGGTCTTATGTCACCTGGCTCGACCATCACCTTCTTCTGTGACTCTAGGTACACTTGTCTGAGTCTCAGTTTCCTCAACATAAAATTAGTGAGCTGGGTGAGATAAGCACTACAGTTCCTTTAAGGTTACAAAAGTCTATGGTCCTGTAACTTAAATCCTCCAGTAGATTCATATTACTTTGTATCCAAAGACTAGGAGAAAACTTGGACTTCTGAAATATCTTTCAGGACTGTGGCCAGGTTGCCTCTCAGATCTGGCTGGATTGGCCGAAGCTGGTCATGTATGTCATAGGACAAGTGGAACACATAGCTTTCATCCTCCTGAGACCCTGAAAAGAAAGAGAGGGCTGGTGTCATTGTGTCCCCTGGGCCAGTTATATGTCCCCGTCGTCTTTAGTTTATGTGAGTAGGTGGGCAGCTGAGCTGTCAGCAACAGGAAAAAGTCTCACTTGGCAGAAGTGTTACAGATGCACTTATGTCATCTGCTATTTCCTAACTTTATTTTATGTATGTATCTATGTATTTATTTATTTTGCTATTCTCTAGTTTTAGATGCACCACCTTGTTGGTTTTATTTTATTTTTATCTGAATGAAATTTGAGAGAACTAGTATTTTTTAAAATGACTTAAATAGTCGCAGTGTTTGTTCTTAAATTAACCGTTGATTTAGAAGGTCTCAAAATACATGAAGGAAGAAAAAAGAGGAAATAGTCTTGAAATACTAAGTGCTACTATAACTATTTGCTGGGTCAGTTCCATGGGCTGATGAAACCTGGTGGTACTTAGGCTTCTAGCTCTGCTTCTTTATCTTAGGATCTGAAAGCGTTCTCTGTGGGTTTCTGGTGTTGGCAACATCAATCTGAATAAACAGTCTCTCACTGTTTCTTGGACAACACACACACACACACACACACACACAGACACACACACACACACACACACACACACACCTGTGAAGTGAGTTCTCAGCAACCATAAGCCATTCAGAGTGGTTACTCAGGGTACAGCTGCTCACAGGGCAATTCTAGCCTCAGCAGTGATTTTGTACTCATATTTCATTCTTTATATAAATTCAGGAGTCTTACTACAACTCTCTGCTTGCCCCCTAGCTTTTTTGATCAGGGGTCAAATGACCGCTGAAGTTGGTATCTGGCAGGGTTAAAACATGTTTAATTCTGGGAAGAGACTCTGTCATCAAGATCTTTACAAAACCAGTTCAGTGAGATTCCCTGGGATGACGATGTGTGAAAAGCCTAGAAAGAAAAAGAGAATATTTTCAAACCCAGGAGGCAACCTCTGGTTATCCGTCAGGCTGAAGGCCCACTTGGATCTTGGTGGGGTGCGTTTTCATCAATTTGTTAAGACTTCAGTCTGTATCTTTGGTTAACTCTGTAAACATCTGAATTGTGTCTGCAAGCACTCTACCCCTTTGTACCCTACCTATTTCTTCCTTTCAGTTTCTTCCCAACAAATCCATCATAAGTTCAACAACAAGCAGGCTGATTCCACAACCATCCTTATAAGTTACCTTTACACATTAATGTTACCTCCTGGTATTTAGAAGGTACATGCTATTACTTAGAACCCTAGTGGTGCTTCGGGTTGTCCCTCACCGTTAATTATCCTGGTGTATCTTACCCCAAGCCCATAAGTCTCCCTGACTCTCCAAGAAGTCTGTCTTCAGTATTCAGCCATGTTTCTACTCCTAGACCAACCTCTAGTTCTTGAGGATCTCTGTGCCAGCTTCCTTATCCATAAAATGGGAGTAAGAAGAGTATCTACCTCATAGGATTTTTGTGAGGATTAAATACATTACTAAACAAGATACACTAAAAAAAAAATGCCTGGCCCATTGTAAATGCTCAATAGTTGTCTGTTATTATCTTATTGAGCTAAACGTCTTATTTACTGGGGTAAGAGGTCTCGTCCACTGTTTTCCAAAGTGCTGCTCCTGGTTCAGAAGGATTTGGTAAAGGGAGCAAAGAAGAAAAACTGAAAATTGACTCTCTGATTTTTAGTCTGGGTGATGTACTCTAGTGCTAATATTAAACACAGGACTGATTCAGAGTAAAACTACATACCTTTCTTTCAGTTCAGGTCTAGTGGGTTCAATACAGTTATTTGCATGGAAGGACAATAATAGCACTATTATGTTTATTTTTAAAAAAGCATAAGTAGATCCTCCTTCCTCCCAGTGTCTCATGAGAATGGTGTGGGAGTATGGGGACAGCACATGCAGCCATCATGCTCTTTCTACCAAAATGGATACAGGACACATTAGAAATTTAAAAACAGAGAAACTGAGCAGAGAAGTTGACTTAGAAAAAACAAAGATAAGTTTAATTTTAGTCATGTGGTAGACTGTCTAAAGTGAAGTGAAAAATAAAACATTTGAATAGAAGAATCTTTAAAGAAATTAGGAGTATGAAAGTCAAAAGTAGTGAGAGAAATCGGGATAAGAAAACAGATCTGGAACTCTTCAGTAGTCTAAAGCTGATCTCTAAAACCATAAGATCGAATGTCTCCCTTGAGGAAGAATGTAGACAGAAAACATGAGGCTAGGTCTCCCCACTTCTGCGTGGGATGTTTTTAAACTCACAGCACTTTTGAGACTGCCCTTTGACTTTTTTTTCAGAAGCAAGACAATGGGCACTGTATGCTGGGCTCTTCTTAGGGGTCATCGTTGGTGTCATCATGATTCTGCAAGTGGTAATACTACTGTTGAGAAGAAGAGGTAGGTGACAATAGATTCTTATCAGACTCCCTGTGGTAAGCAGGGGACCTCTCCCCACAAGCACTTGCTCTCACCACTGGGGCTTTCTGCAGGCAATGCCTTTGCAAAAACACTACATAAACATATCCTCGGATCTTGTTCAATTCAGTTTCATTCAACATGTCTTGCTTGATCCCGCCACACTAGGCTGTGGGGATAAAAAGATAGATGAACCACAGGTATTTAATATGGGAGACATGACACAGATAATTTAAATTCAGTATATATGACGAACACTGCAGCAGAGGTGTGTACAGGATGCTGAAGGGATCCAGATAAGAAGCTTAAAATATTCACTAGGAGCAGAATACAGAGGACCCTTGAATCTTGTTCAACAGAAAAGTTATAACTACTGACTAATAATAAAAAGGATGCTTTTACCCAAGGGTTGAAACCTTTCTATAATTTCTTCTTTTTTAATTAATTATTTTATTTATTTTTGGCTCCGTTGGGTCTTCGTTGCTGTGCACGGGCTTTCTCTAGTTGTGGTGAGCGAGGGTTACTCTTCGTTGCGATGTGTGGGCTTCTCATTGCGGTGGCTTTTCTTGTTGTGGAGCACAGGCTCTAGGCGTGTGGACTTCAGTAGTTGTGGCTCGCGGGCTGTAGTGTGCAGGCTCAATAGTTGTGGCATGCAGCCTTAGTTGCTCCACGACATGTGGGATCTTCCCAGACCAGGGCTCGAACCCATGTCCCCTGCCTTGGCGGATGGATTCTTAACCACTGTGCCACCAGGGAAGTCCCTATAATTTCTTTTTATGCTTACAATATCCCTCTGAGAAAAGGAGGGTATAGTTGTTTCTATGTGACTTAGCAATGGGGTAACCAAGGCACAGAGAGAATGACTCCTGCAAAGTCACCCAGCTGATTGGTGAGGGAATCAGAACTGCAACTATGTGTCCCAACTACCGGGGCGTGTTCCTCTAGGAAGGCCCACAGCTTATCAGAAGACAGCAGAGAGAACACACTTTACTACCATTTTAGCACAAATTCTGACTCACCTTGGACAAGTGTGCAATTCATGAGGTCACTTAAAGCCAAACTAAATAGTTATGGAAAGTTACCCAGGGTAGACTGAAACCATTAGGGCCCAATTACTCCCTTGCAGTTTCAATGCCTAGAGTTAGTATCTCCTGGCCTCCCCTCCAAGTTGTTCTATGATTCAATATCCTGGGCAGTGTGCTCCCCTCAGCGACACTACCCACCACCCACTCACATTAGCATCAGAAGGTCCTGCCCCATGATCAGGACAGATCCCTGGGCTGGTCTTCCCATGGGGAGAATAGAACTTGATCCTCACACCACAGATCTGATGGCCGATCTCATTCTCAAGTAGATCAGTGTTCTCCACATATAACCTTCTTGGAAAAGCCCTGTCTCAGCACTCTGATGTTGGTTTTGCTTATGTAAAAAAATCTAGGTCATAGCAAGCCGCCTACTTTGTCTCATTTCCTCCATTTAAGAGGTAGCTGGGGAGGAATGGGGGGAGTGCGGCAATGCAGACAGAAATCACGATGAGAGTCCATGGGGATGGGCCAGGGCAGCCACATTTGTCTTAGACAATAAGGAAGCAGTGAAATACCAGCGATGAGAAAACCGAGATTAACATACCTGCATTAACCCAGCTGGTGAAGGTCCTGGGATCCTAACCTGCACTCTTTCCTCAACTACATCCTGCTCATCACATGGTTGTCTCTGAAGGGAATAGCGCTCCCCACCCCACTACAATTCTCTACTACTTTTCCCAAACACGTACCCATCCTTGTTTCTAATCACCGTGTATTCCTTGTAAGCCAGGAACATACAAAACCCTGCCTTAAGTCTATGGGAAAAGCTTATACTAAATTGCTGTACCCCCATAAGACTTTGCTCAAGAGATTCTGTTGCCAACTTCTATTGGTGTCACCTCCAGAATGCAGCCTGACTCTGAAGGTTTTCAGATGGACTCTCTGGAAATTTCGTGTCCAGGAGACACACTAGATAAGAACATAGATTTTTAGCATTCAAATGCAGACTTTGCCACTGACAAGCTCTGTGATCAAACGAAAGGCAAACAAATCTGCAAAATGGGGATAATATTATGTACTTCATGGTATTGATGTGGGGATCCATAAGTCAATATACTGAAAGCACTGAACACGATGGCTTCCATGGATAGATGATGGATGAGAGATGGATAAATAGATGGATACACACACACACACACACACACACACACACACACACACACACACACACAGAAAGACTAATCTCTTAATGTAAGCATCAATAGTTAATCTCTATTGCCAGCAGAGGGCAGCGCTGGAAGGATCTGGGAAGAGCACCTAGAACAGATTTAAAGTACTTGAGGTTAGGGTAACATAAGACAACTTTATGCCTCAGATGAGAGCTGAAAAGGATATTAGACCGACTATGCCTTCATTTTACAGTCATGGTAAGAGAAGAGACCCATTGAGATGACATGTTGTCCAATGACACACAGCTAATGAGGGCTAGAAGGGGGATGCCCCAATGCTAAGGTCAAGACATTTTTCATTAGATCTTAAGGCCTCAGTGACTAGAGTTGAGCTGGCTCCTGAAAACCTGTTTCTGCATTGGGGAAGAAAAGCATGAGACTGAATTATCTTGGTCCAGTGGTCTTTTTGAGAAGCAACATTCAGCCTTGCCTTTTCCATCTCTCTGACCCTTTGGGACTTTTCCCTCAATTGTAATTTTCAGCTTGAGCTGACCTGAAAGACTGAAAGTCCTTAAGGACTGAGGTCTGTTCTCTACACTATTTGTTCCCCTACAACACCTAGGACAGTGCTGAGTGGGGGCTTCTAACTGTGCAAACATTCATGGTTTTGAACCGAAGGATGTGTTTCACAGAACTAACTCATGCCCTCTCTGTTATCTCCTCTGATCACCCCAAACCCTATCCTCCCTCCCTATCCCCCCGCAACACGCATCCTCAGCCAGTTATCAACCCTGACCAAAAAAGTGAAGTTGGAGCAACCAAGCAGGTACTCCATGCCCACACATGCACAGGAAAACCATACGTTGGCTTCTTTGAATTCTTTGAGCTTCCCAGCAGCTGCCCGTCATTTCCCTCCCAAGTGTCACACCCTCATGCAGCACCTTCCACCACCTTCATCACGTACATACATACAAGGCCTTTCCCTTCCAAATAAAAATATACCTCTCCTAAGTGCTATTCCCTCAGAGACATGCTCCTAGATTTTTAAGAGAATAAATTAATTGGTGTTAAAATAAGTCTACCCTAAAGACTTCATGTGATTTCCTCTGAATCAAGTCTCCATTGTTTTTGCCTGGATTTTGCAATAGTCCCAAAACAGGCCTCCCTGTTCCCATCTGTTTTTTACCCTCCATCCTTCTCACTGCTACATGATATATCCAAAGAATACCACAAAACATTAGAAAGAATGAGATAGGTCTACTGCACTAGCATGGAAAATGTCCTCAACACATTTTAGCTGAAAGGGTCAAGTTACAGAGAAGTGTATGGAATGACTGTATTTGCAGAAGAAATATCTGTATAAGTATAGCAAGTGTCCAGAGCTGCACCGTCTAATACGGTAGTCATCAGCCACGTGTGGCTGTTTAAATTTAAATTAATTAGAATTAAACACAATTTTAAATAATTTTATTGAAGTATAGTTGATTTACCATGTTGTGTTAATTTCTGCTGTACAGCAAAGTGATTCAGTTATACATATACATACATTCTTCTTCATAGAATTAAAAACAATTTAAAATTCAGTTTCTCGGTTGCATTAGTCACAGTTCAAGTGCTCAGTAGTGACTTGTGGCTTGCAGCTACCATAGTAGACTGCAAATATGGAACATTTCCATCATCGAAGATGATGTTCTATTGTACAGAGCTGATCTGGAAGGATATACATCAAACTGTTAAAAGCAATTACTTCTGAGAATGAAATTGTACCGGTTAATGGGGGAAAGAGGACATACTTTTTACTCTCTATTATTTAAATTTTTGTAACAAGAATGAATTATTCCTATAATTTAAAAAGAAAAAATTTAAAAACTGGTTAAAAATTTAAATGTTCTGCAACATATTAATTTCCAGAGATCCTAGGCTCTGAGCAAAAAAAGATGGTAGGCATTAGAATGACATTGCAGCTTTATTCCAAATAGTCCCAGGCAGATCATCCCTCTTGCACCCCTTCCACCTACACATACACCGTCCCCCAGAAACAGGGAGGTGAGAAAGCTGTGAATGAAACAACATGCTATGAGCTAAAGAATTCGAAAGAGGTATAAATAACTTGCCCTGCCCCTAAAGAACTTAGAATTCTATTAGGAGATCAGATATATACATCAAACAATAGAGATCAAAATAATTGAATGGCATATCAATTACACCTAACAATTGCACCTAACACTATGTGCCAGGCACTGTTCTATACACTTTACAAGTAATAGCTCATGTAATCATCACAACAGCCCTGTGAGGCAGGTATTTCAATCCCATTTTACAGATAGGGAAATAGGCCAAGAGAGATCAAGTAACTAACCTAATGTCATATGACAAATGTACACGGGGTTTGGGACTCAGTGCTTTGTTCCTGTGGTACTTCTGGGGAAGGTGGGTGTGCAATGGTGGGTAAAGACCAGACAGGTCTGAGCAGAGAGTTCATGCTGGGGACCAGAGGGAGATAACCACTATGGTTTCTTTTCCCCAGGTAAAACAGACAATTACCAGCCAACAATGGAAGCAAAAAGCCTTACTATCTATGCCCAAGTCCAGAAATCAGGTGTAAGTCCTATACTGTCTTTGTCTGGGGTGGACCTGTCATGTTTCCCATGGAATCCCTGGCCATTCAGTTCACTTTGCATGTCTGACATTCATGGTTCTACGTGGGTTCTGAAGCAGAGGAAATTAAGAAAGCAGAAGTCAAGAACAAGAGCTCTCTAAAAGAACATTAACTTCGGTGTTAGATGGGACTATTTATTATTTGAAATAATGGGAAACACGGGGTAATTTTCTGGTCATCTGTTTCTTCATAGGAAAAATTGAGGAAGCTAGAAACATGTGATGTATGACTCCTTCCAGCTCTGGCATTCTAGGAGTCTACGGTTCTCTGTTATCAAACTCTTTCCTTCTCTATGGAAGAGGGTGCCAGCTTGAGGAGAGAGAGGAAGATTGAGAAAGGCTATTGTGTGACATGTTGGTCTGATCCAAGCTTAAGAGTTTGCAAACATCAAAGAGACAAGGAAGGAAGATCTTGAGGATTCTGCCTGGAGAGTGGTTGGTGAGATGGAAGATGATATGTAGGCAGCAGATGAAAGCAAAACTGTGACGGAGTGATGGTTGGGCTGAAACAGAAGAGATGGATTTAAAAAACTAGAGTCATGATGAAGTTGAGGAGCAGATAAGTTAGAAGTAAGAGGGAGGCTAAAGAATGATGGCTAGATATGAAGATATTATAGTTTTTCTGACATGAAGGCAATTCTAGGTGATGTATAGGCCAGAATACGGCCATTCAGGGTGTAGGGGAAGGCAAATTCTTGAGTAGAAGATGTGAAGATAAAGACAGCTTTGATTAGCACCTTGGAAAATTGCATCAGATGACAGTAAATGCATTTCTGATAACCAGAGATAAACTCTTGGACAAAGCCCTTCTTTCTACTGTCCCCTAGTGGCCTGGAGGGTGTATTACACAGGCCATGACCACCGTTGAGAACCGAACTCCATTTAAATATATGAGTCCCAAGAGCAACCTCTTTTGCATATACATATTTAGGTAATCAGGTTCAACTTAACCATGGTGCCTTCCCTATCTATTCTATCCCATGTTGCTAGCACCCCTCTTTTTACTGTAAAGTATGACATCCATACCAAAAAGTGCACAATGTATAAATGTCAGCTCAATGAATTACCCCATCTTGATACCTAGTAAAGCAAATCTCCCCAGCTTGTTTTTCTTTAAGAGCTTTTGGCTATTATGTCCCTTTGTACTTGCGTATGTATTTTCGAATCAGCTTCTCAAGTATCACAGAAAGGGGAAAAATCCTATTAGGATTACATTGAATCTGCAGATCTATTTGAGGAGAAATCATATCTTTTAGTATTGAGTCTTCTAGGACCATAAAACTACCACCCAGATCAAGGAACAGAACATTGTCCCCACCCCCAGAAGACCTCCTTGTGTGCCTCATAATCACTATCTTCTCTCTCCTCCCCAAAGATTCCCTATCCTTACTTTCTGAAAATATAGTTTACTCTTTTTTTTTTCCCTTTGGACTTTATAAAAATGGAATGTTATAGCATTTTTCCTCCTGTGTACAGTTTATTTTGCTCGATATTACCTTTTATGAGATTCAAGCATGTCTTTGAGCTTAGATATAATGCATTCATATTCATTGATTTATGGAATATCAATGTATACATATACAAGAGTTTATTCTTCCAGTTGACTACTGATGAACATTTGTGTTATTTCCAGTCTGAAGCTATTATGAAAATTGCAGCCATTCATATTCATACGTGTGCTTCTTGGTAGATACGTGCACATATTTTTGTTGGGGATATATCTAAATGTAGAATTGCTAAGTCACAGAGTATGCATATCCTCAAATTGATTAGATAAGGCCAAACTGTTTTTCAAAGTGGGTGTACCAATTTACTTTTTTGCAACTACATACAAGAGTTTCAGTTGCTACACATTCTAATCGAAATTTGGTGTTATTGGTCTTTTAAGTTTTAGTCATTCTTTTGGATGTGTCTTTTTATAGTTCTATTTTGCATTCCTCTAATTATTAAGAAAGTTGAACAATTTTTCATGTGTTTATTGGCTGTATAAATATCCTCTTTCTTAAAGTGACTGTTAAATCTCTTGCCAATTTTCCCTTGCATTTCAGTCTGTTTTGGGTGGGATTATTATAAGGCTTTTAAACATTTTTAGCAGTTATATTTTAGCACATACCTTCACCCATCTTGTGGCTTGCCTCTGCAATTTCTCAAAGATACATTTTGATAAAGGAAAGTTCTCAATTTTAGTGTGAACAATTTCATCAACTCTTCCTTTGTGTTATAAAAAGATAACACTTTTTGTATTCCAGTTAAGAAATCTTTCTTTACTCCCAGGTATGAAGATATTCTTCTACCGTCTTCTAAAAACTGTATGGTTTATCTTTTCAACTTATATCTGCTATGCACCTGAAAATGATTTTTTGAGTGTGGTGTGAGATGGGTCAACTTTTATTTTTTTCCATATGGATATCCTATTGACTATTTATATTTAAAAACTGTCCTTGCCTCACTGCAGTGCCACCTCATTATAAATCAAGCGTCCATCTGTGTGTGGATCTATTTTGAAGTTCTCTGTTCTGCTCCATCGGTTTATTTCTTTACAATTGCACCAGAACCATACTGTCTTAACAAATCTGTGATTGCAGATTTATTACAAGTTTGATATCTGGTAAAACAAACCTTTTTACTTGTTCTTGTTCTTCAAGTTCTTGGCCATTTTTGGTCCTTTGCATTTTCATCTATATATTTTAGATTCAGTTTGTAAAAATCCTCCTTAAAATCCTGCTGGAACTTTAATTAGAACTGCATTGATCACTTTCAGAAGATCATATATGTTTTCCTATTGAGTCTTTCAATTCATAAAATGATATATCCTTTATTTAGATCTTCTTTAATTTTACCCTATCACTCCTTGAATTATCTTCTGCAACATTACTTCCAAAGTGCTGGCTAGCTCCTTTTTACTAAAAGGACCTTTTTACTAAAAGGACATTTTATTAAAAGCATTACCTGGAACCTAATTAGAAATGCAAAAAGTCAGGCCCCACCCCAGATCTTCTGAAATAGAACCAGACTTCTAACAAGATTTCCAGGTAATTCATATGCACATTAAAGTGTGAGAAGCCCTGCTCTACCCCAAGCACTTCCAGTAATGGGAAATTCACTGCCTCTCAAGGTAATTCATCCCACATTTGAGCACTTCTTACTATTAGAAAGATCTTATTATATTGAACCAAAATATTACCCTAAAAATTCCAACCTTGGTTTAAAGCTGACAGACTGTACAGAACAAATGTAATTCTTCTTCTACATGGCAACCCATCAGATATATGAAGAGAAAGATCATGTCCCACCTTGAATCTTCTTTCCTCCAGTAAAGTTTTCCAATTCCTTATCTCTTCCACCAGATGACAAGATTCCAAGTTCTCTCCCATTATAACCCATATGCTTCCGTTTTAAGGCTAGTTCTATGTCCAGGAAAGGCAGAGAATAGCATTATCCTACACCAGTGCCCCCAAGTATGTTGAAAAGATGACTTTCCAGGCATAAGATATGTCGTCTCCATCTTAGAGGGACGGGGTCTCAATTTATGCCTACACTGACTTCGTCCTGGTATTGTGGATTTTAATTCATTCTAAGTAACATTAACAAACAACAGCTGAAGGTTTTTATGTGCCTAGCACTGTTACATGGGGAATGCAAAGAAAAAATAGGCTATTTCTCAAGGAATTGATGGGCTGTTTGGAGAAGCGATGTGTAAATACATCAGAGTGTCTTAAATACAGTGTACAGTTAAGTGCCGTAATGTGTGAATTAGACTTTAGGTACCTGAGGAATTTAGGTGAAGGAGAAGTCATTATAAGTTGGGGTAACCAAAGAAGGACACTATAATGGAAAATACATGCGCTTTAAGTTAAAAGATATTTTAAGTTAAAATCCTGGCTTTGATACTTCTTGCATGTTCACATTAAGAAAGTATTAAATCTTTCTGGACTTTAGCCTCTTCATCTGTAAAATGTGAGTAACAGTTTTTAACATAAAGAGTGGTTGTGAGACAAATGGGAAGATATATGTGAAGAACTTGGTAAACTTTAACACACTCGCACATGTGTGGTTATTATGAAGTTCAATGTTTGGACAGGAAAGAGAATTGATGAGAAGCCATATTAGAGTGAGTAATAGCAGGACTTCATGTTGTGGGTGATATGAGTGAGACTAAAATACTATAAAAATCGCATTCCCTTCAGCTGCCTATGTAAGAACCACACCAATTTCAGTTCACTGTGAGCAAGATGTTTAAAACATCTGGGAAGTGATGATGGTGAATCAGGCTGCCTCACAAGGCTGTGAGCTCCATGTCACTCGGGGAGTCTGAGCAAAGCCCAGAGAATTGAGTTCCAGGGAATTTGGGGGAGAATTTTCACCTGGGAAGGAGGCTGGACCAAATGACTCCAAGGAGCTTTCTAACTCAAAACTTCTTGAGGCTACGCTTCTCCATGGGGAAAGTTGAATGGGAAATAACTTGCTGCTCAGCTAATCTCCTGCTGTCTTTGCTTCCCTTGTAGTCTGTTCAGAAGAAACCTGACTCTCTGCCAGCTCAGGACCCCTGCACCACCATTTACGTTGCTGCCACAGAGCCTGTGCCAGAGCCCGTCCAGGTGAGGCATTGCTCTGTGCCTCCTCTCTGTAGAGAGGGAATAGGTGGAGGAGGGGAAAGGGTGGAACCTGTGTAGAGCTGAAATGAGGACGTAGGCCCTTGCAAGCAGGTAGCAAGGAGCATCTGCAGCCTCAGTTACAGGGCTTCCGGGAAACCCCTCGTGGCTGCTTACACGGGGTCTCTGCTCACTCTCTGCTCACCAGGCTTTCTCTGAGAGCTGTCACGTCAGAATCAACTGGCATATTTGTTAAAAATAAAGGCTCCCAGGACCTTCTACCTAGGATTCTGTTCAATCAGAATGTCTATGATGGGTAACCAGGCATCTACATGTTAAAAAACAACATCCTCCTGGTGATCCTGATGCACATTTAAGTTCAGGAATCGCACCTTGAGTCCAGGAGTTCTCCAGTCCAGCTGCATGACAGAATTGCCAGGGGAGCTTTGTAAAAACGCTCATGCCTAGTCTCCATTCATCCCTGGTTAATCAGAACATTTAGGAGTAGAACTCTGCATAGGTGTAAAGCCTAGAAGACAGTATGACACATGGCCCGCCTGTTCTACCCCATTGCAAGATCAGCATGGATTAAGTTTACTTGACAGGAATCTTTCCTTTTACTAAACGAACAGAAGTAAATTCTGGGCTAAAATCTTGGCTGTAGTTGGACCCTATTAAATAAAGCATTTTAGGAGACAATGGAGGATCAAAATGCCACAGAAATGCCCATTTTCCTCAAAGCTCCTACTGTACACACACTCAGCAATGCTTGGGAGGATGCCTCATCTTCATCTTGAGGTGTATTCACAGACCACTCTCCTATCCAAAGGGAAGTAAAAACATAAATCTGACTTAAAAGCTTTAAATAATGTAGATTTTTAATGATGTTTTCTTGGGGAAGATACACAGCACTCGGTATATTTCACATTTTACAGCAAAACCACCTGAATTCCCTCATTCCTGTCTCTTTCTGTCTCAGACTCTTGAATCTCCTCTCCCTGCGAGAAGTCTTTGCCCACAATCTTCACCTCTTCCCCATCCCTCTCTTGCAGGAACCACTTCTTTCTTCTCCCTTTGGGTCTCATTAATCCCCCCCTTTTTAGAGCTCAGTAATTTAGAACTCTTTTGGCTTCTCTAAACTGAGTGCAGGTCCTCAGATGACTGGGACAGGTCTCCCAGTCTCCCTGATGACATGCGTATGCTTGAAGGGAGCTGTAACCCATCTTGTGGGTGAGCAGGTAGTCTGGGAAGCTGAGTGCTACCTCTAGCAATACCCAGCTGTGGCAGACCCTGAGCAAGCTGCAATGCTACATGATTCTTGAGACGCTTTCCTTTTTCTAAGCATCACTGCTTCCATTTGTAGCCTGTGAACCTAGTGCTGGTCCCTCCACCCACAGACTTGTTCTCTTTTGCCCCCAGCAATCAAGCTCCATCACAGTATATGCCAGCGTGACACTTCCAGAGAGCTGACACCACAGATCCAGTGGAGGGACTTTCTGAAGGAATACGGAGGAGCCAAAATAAACACTGAACTTGGTCTCAAGTCCCAAGTTTCTTGTGACATCTACACATCTGTACTCTTCTTGGATCGACTCCCTGGTGATGTTTCTCCCACATCTACCCGCGAAATAGATAAGGAAGCGAGGTTTCCCAAGCACTTAGCCTGCTATGTGGGAGGCACAGGCTCAGAACAGAGAGCTGCTTGGAATAGCTTTCCATCTCTGTGGTGTAGCAGATGAAATGGATAATGCCGGTCCAGTGAGGTGTCTCGCTCTTTGCTGCAATTGGGTAATAAAAGCCAAAGGCAGAAAGTCAGGACAGGACATCTAGTACCTATCTCAGACAGCTGACCACCAGCAACAAAGTCTGGAACAGCATACCCTTGGGCTGCCTGTCCTTGGTCTGGGAGCTGCTCCCGATCACCATGCAGACTTGATCAAGGCTCTGGGCCTCAGTTTCTCTCTCTGGATAGACAATGAGATTATTGTCTCAATGAGATTAATAAACACTCTGAGATTATGCCATAAAAGAAGCTAATAAAGTATTTTATTTGTAAAACCTGGAAGCTAAGAGTCAATAAACTGAAAATATGACTTTGAGGTCTCTGAGCTTTGAGTAATGGAATGAAAAAAAATCTAAGATTCTTAAAAGTACAGTTTTGTGCAAATGATGTTCAGATTTAAAGAAAAGGCTTCCCTGGTGGCGCAGTGGTTGGGAGTCCGCCTGCCGATGCAGGGGACACGGGTTCGTGCCCCGGTCCGGGAAGATCCCACATGCCGCGGAGCGGCTGGGCCCGTGAGCCATGGCCGCTGAGCCTGCGCGTCCAGAGCCTGTGCTCCACAGTGGGAGAGGCCATAGCAGTGAGAGGCCTGCGTACCACCAAAAAAAAAAAAAAAGAAAAGTGGTAAGTGTTTTGTGATACTGTTACAAAGGAACTTGGGATAATCAGAACTTGTCCCAGAGTGACTTTTCACTTCCCCAAATGATTTTTAAATCCTAGTTCTCTGCTTACTCTGTTGAACAACAAACCTGGAGCCTCAACTAAGACTCTTCAAACTGATTCTGAGTCCATTTTACATCCATGGCTTCACATCCCCAGGGTCTCTACCAGACACTTCTTAATCCTTGCATACCTCTCCCCATCACTAAATGTATCTTGAAGTAGACAATAACATATATTGGCCCAACAGTTTCAAGTAATTGAATGCTTAATAACTTAAATTATTGGCTGCAGACAGAAAGAGCCTCTTCTATTAAAGTCCTATTTCCCTTCTATTCTCGCTTTCATATAGGCCTTCTTCAATTTAAGCACTTCTGTCTGATAGGGTCTTGTGTGACCCTAGTGAGCACTTTAAGAAATCACCATAAAGAAGATGTGGCACATATATACAATGGAATATTACTCAGCCATAAAAAGAAACGAAATTGAGCTATTTGTAATGAGGTGGATAGACCTAGAGTCTGTCATACAGAGTGAAGTAAGTCAGAAAGAAAAAGACAAATATCGTATGCTAACACATATATATGGAATTTAAGGAAAAAAATGTCATGAAAAACCTAGGGGTAAGACAGGAATAAAGACACAGACCTACTGGAGAATGGACTTGAGGATATGGGGAGGGGGAAGGGTGAGCTGTGACAGGGCGAGAGAGAGTCATGGACATATATACACTACCAAACGTAAGGTAGATAGCTAGTGGGAAGCAGCCGCATGGCACAGGGATATCGGCTCGGTGCTTTGTGACCGCCTGGAGGGGTGGGATAGGGAGGGTGGGAGGGAGGGAGACGTAAGAGGGAAGAGACATGGGAACATATGTATATGTATAACTGATTCACTTTGTTATAAAGCAGAAACTAACACACCATTGTAAAGCAATTATACCCCAATAAAGATGTTAAAAAAAAAAAAAGAAATCACCAACTGTCTTACACCCATATAATAAGAGTCACCAAATTTCCAGCTCAAAACTCTGAGCTCCTTATAGCCTTGTACTTTATCCCCTCTTTTCAATCAGTTCACATTTTAGCTCTGTTGTTTGGAGCATCCCACTTGCTGGAACCAATGCATTAGTATTCTTTTTTGTGAAGACAGAAACTGACTCTGCATTTTTCTATGTAGAAAAGGAATCTACGGAAAAGATACTGGTTGGTTCAGATAACTGCTAGGAGGTTCTGTAAAATGATGGTTTGAAAATGAGCAAGCAAGGGGAGACTTGGACTGTGACTAGGGCCACAGCCCAAATCACAAACCCAGCCCAGGGATGACAATGCTGGGCACCAGCTGTTTTGCTATTGTCCTCCCAGCACTAGACCCAGACTCCATCATTCCCTCCCTGCCTCAGCTGGACTTGAAAACTCCAAATTGCTGTTGTACTATCTGTACCAAAGTGACATCTCCAGGGTCCATTCTTCAGCTTTTCATCTCTAGTTTCTAAATCAGAGTCCAGGACCAAGCGGCCAATCCTAGGTCACACATCCATGTTCTACCTCCAAGGGAGGCTGGGAATTGAATACATGGCATTTTCCATGTTCATAGTGGTGGTGGTGGTGAGGTCTGTCTCTTATGAATTAGGGAATTCCCCAAACACAAGCAGTGAGATTCCATGCTGGACAGGCACACACACACACACATACACACACACACATACACAATGTCCACTATACCACCCTTGTATAATCTTAGGCTCATTAGCTGTCTATACTAAAAAACCAAGGAGCTACTAACCAGGATTTGTAAATCCTGGGGTTATGAGCAATCATTCTTTTACTATAACTCAGATTGTTTTAACAGCTCAGTTCCCAACATTTGGGTTTTTTCTGTGGCTGAATTCTACCTGATGGAAGGGCAGAAACAAAGGGGGAAAGAAGAGGCTATCCCCTCAAAATTCCCTGACAAGACTCAATAGCTCACTGCGAGGATGGCTGTGACTAGGAGTCTTTGGAGCCATTCTTCAAACAACATTTGATGTATGTCCTGCATCACCAGGTCCCAGGTTCAAGCGGGAAAGCAGAGAACCCCTCAGATTATTCTCTTACCATTCTCCAATTTTCCCCTAAGGCACTGTGCATGAGCTGAAGTTTTCTTCTTCCTCAGGCTTAAAATAAAACTGATACTTCAATTTCTGGTTTCCCCGTGTTTCTTCTCTAATGTTTTCTTTTGACTGAGCATATCTGAATTCTGGAGAACTCAGGAGGAACAGGCCCATTCTCAGTATTAATGGGTTGGGGTTCTGAAATACAGCTGGGCATAACCTTGAGCTTCCTTAGGACACTAACTCTAGTCACACGACCAGGATGTGATTGGTGAAGGGTCCATAAGCTGACTAAGAAACCACTGATTACAGTAAGTTACTTCTCTTCCTGAAGATTTTCTTTCTACCTCCTGGAAATGAGTAAAATATGGACAGTCCATCCAAGAAATTGCCCTTTTGTTTTTGTGTTGCCCAGAGAACGCGTAACATAGCAGTGTGGCAAAACATGTTTCATGACCTTGTGTCTCTATAGCTATGGTGTGAAGCACTGAAGGTGGCTGATTTGATTTGATGAAGTATGAGGTTGTCCTTATCCTAGGCGGAAGGTCAGAAGTCATACTCCACATGGAGAGGATAACTTGTGTTTAAAGGATTGTTTAATTTTTGTCACTGCCAAGGTAATTGCCTTCCCTGAATTTCTCCAAATTCCCCTTGTGGAGCAAATCTAGACTGGGTTTCTCAACTGCAGCACTATTGACATTTTGGTGCAGATAATTGCTTGACATGGGGGGTGTTCTGTACATCATATGATGTTTATCAGCATCCCTGGCCTCTGCCCACTAGATGCCAGTAGCACATCCCCTGTCCCTGGTCAGTACAATCAAAAATGCTTCCTGACATTGACAGATATTCCTTACTGGGCAAAATCTTCCCACTGATTGAGAACCCCTAAATTGAGAGCTGATGATCTAGAAACATACTGGCTCCCTAGTCATCTTTGCATAGACTAAATATCCATCAATATACCAAGTAGTAGATCTATCAAAAATCATATTTTGAAAGTGGCCACCTAGTCACTTAAGCATGACCCACATCTGCCAATATTACCAAGGTTATCTAAATATTAGAGCTCCCTGCCCAAACCCTACCTCAAACACAAATAAAATCTGGGTGAAGATCTATAGCAGAAGTCCCCAACATTTTTGGCACCAGGGACCAGTTTTGTGGTCCTGGGATGGGAGGGGTGGGAGGTGGGTGGGGGGGAGGGGTTCAGGCGGTAATGCGAGCGATGGGGAGCGGCAGATGAAGCTTCGCTCACTCACCTGCTGCTCACCGCCTGTTGTACGACCCAGTTCCTAACAGGCTGCGGACCAGAGCCGGTAGGTGGACCGGGGGTTGTGGACCCCGATCTATAGAACCACCAACTTAGAGGCTATGGTTATAACCAGAGGATTTTGTGAAGAGTTCCACACAACAACCACAAGAGGGAGATGTAGCAATATAGTCCATCCCACACCAGCATCTCCAACACCACTTCGCTTGCATCTAAAGGATGTGGACTTAGTCATAGACTTGCTGAAATGGTGGCTGGATTCTCATCAGTTCACAGCACTTACAGGCTGGAAGGAGAGTTGACCCCTCCGCCTAGAGATAAGGAGGCCCAATGTGAGTTGATAACAGACTGTAATCAAAGTTAACTGCAATAAGTTTCTTTCACAGAAGACTCCTAATTCTACTCAGTGCTTCACTCATTTAACAAATAGTTATTAAGCTCCCACTAAGCATTAGGGGTTGTCATCCAGTAGGAGATACAAAAAATACAGGCAATTAAAATACTACAATATCCGATAGCTGGAGAACACCATAATCCAAAAAGATACATGCATCCCAATGTTCATTGCAGCACTATTTACAATAGCCAGGACACGGAAGCAACTAAATGTCCATCAACAGAGGAATGGATAAAGAAGATGCGGTACATATATACAATGGAATACTACTCAACCATAAAAATGAACAAAATAATGTCATTTACAGAAACATGGATGGACCTAGAGATTATCATACTAAGTGAAGTAAGTCAGACAGAGAAAGACAAATGTCATATGATATCATTCATATGTAGAATCTAATTTTTAAAAAAGATACAAATGAACTTATTTACAAAATAGAAACAGATTTAAAGATATCAAAAACAAACTTATGGTTACCAAAGGGGAAATGTGGGGGGAGGGATAAATCGAAAGCTTGGGATGAACACACACAAACTACTATATATAAGATAGATAACCAACAAGGACCTACTGTATAGCACAGTGAGCTCTACTCAGTATTCTCTGATAACCTATATAAGAAAAGAATCTAAAAAAAGAATGAATATATATATATAACTGAATCACTTTGCTGTACACCTGAAACTAACACAACATTGTAAATCAACTATACTCCAGTAAAATTAAAATAAATAAATAAATAAATAAAATACTACAGTAGGTAGACAACCATATGCTCTACTGGGACTGCTTGAAAGTAAAAGGAGGTGCTGTTAATAATTATACTGTGGCAATGGCTGGGCAAGTCAGAATGTGTAGTCCCCCTAATGACAGAGAGGGTAAGGGATA